CGGTGGGAATCCTTGGATGTTGCAACAGATAAGAAAGGAAAAGCCAGGCAGAGTCTGATGTGCACCCTGGATTTGGGAAAAGGAAAATTGGAGATTGCAGTAGGTAAGAAAGGGAAAGCCAAGGCAGTCTGACTGCCCTCTAGAGCTGGGGGAAGCAGATTTCAGACAGGACTGCAAAGATCCCAAGGCGGACAATCCCATGCAGCATGTTAGCTCAGAGAATCACAGAATATTATTAACAATGGCCCTCAGAGGCCATCTACTTGAGCTGCTGACCTGACCAAGAATCCCTCAGGGGGCTTTTCAGTGAGGAGGAACTCAGTACTTCTCCTATGCAGCCCATAGTTATGTCCTCAGAGGCTAAACAGAAAACTTCTTCTTCTGGGATGGGACAACATTCTGAATACTTTAAAACAGCCATTATGGTTCACCCATCCTCCAACTTTACTCTGCACTACTAGACACAACATGACCTTGAACTTGAGATAGCTGGACCAGATGACCTCTGGTCATCCTTTTTTGGAATACCATGCTCTATTCTGGGTGCTGCATTTAGGAAGGGCACAACCAAGCTGGAGTGTGTCTAGAAGGTCACCGGAATGATGGGGGACTTGAAACACTCCATGAGGAAAAGTTAAAAGGAACTAGGGATATTTTACAAAAGGAAAAAATAAGATGTCAGGGCAGGACAGCACGAAGCAGTTATAGGGGGAGTGGGATAATGTTTGTTCTGTTTAGCCCCAGAAGACACGCTGGAGCAGTGGGCAGGCAACACAGAGAGGCAAGTCTGAGTAAGGTAACTCAATAATGATAACAGCACTTTAAAAACTATTTGCTGTTCTTTATAGTACCTCGTAAGGTAGATACTATTATTATTCCCATTTTAAAGATGAGAAAAATGAGGCTGAAAAGGATTAGATGATGTGCCCAAAGTCACCCAGTTAGTAGATGTCTGAGGCAGGACTAGTGTCTGAGGCAGACAAAGAAGTTTCACTGCCAGGCCAGAGGAAAAGGATGTACAAAGCCAGGAATCCATCTGAGTTGACACCAGCTAGGTCTCACTTCCACTCCCTGTCAGTAAATCAATAATCAATTCAGTTAAGTGCTTGCTACATGCCAGGCAATCAGTCCCTCCCCTCCTTAAGGCGCACAGTCCAACGTCCAGAAAACAAACAAACAAACAAACAACAGTTTAAATGGAAGGGAAGGCAGAGCGGGGATGTGAGAGCTAAGTCCTGGAGAAGGCTGGGGAAGTCGGGAGGCAAAGACAAGGAGTGTACAGGTTCTGAAGGACAGCCAAGAAAAAGCCAGGCGGGAGTGTTGTGTTCAAGGCACACAGTGGCTGGTAGAGCTGGGTTAGCCAGTGTGTGGAGGGAGTGAAGTGTAAAAAGATCAGACAGAGAGGAACGAGGCAGCCAAGTGGTAAAGGGCTTTAAATGCCAAATGGAGCATTTTATACTGATCATAGAGGCAACAGGGAGCCACTGGAGGTGAGTGAGGATGGGAGTGAACGCATTACCAACTGTACAGAAAGTGAGCCCACACAAAATTATCCCCAAGCTCCCTCATAGGAGGGGATTTCTCATTCATAATAGCAGCTTACCTCCACATAGCCCTGTAAGCCTAACAGTTTACCTACTTGTGAAGTATGGTTATTCCCACGGCACAAACGAGGATACGGAATAAATAGCAGCTCAGTGGTTCATAGGAAAGAATGATAGATTTGGAAGCCAAGAACCTGGGTTCAAATTCTGGCTTGGCTACCTGTCATTTGTGTGACTTTGGGCAAGTCATCTGATCTTTCTGGGACTCAGTTTCCCTGTCTGTAAAGTGAGGGGAGTGGACTAAGTCTTCCCCAAGGTCACACAATTAGCAAATGGTAAGTCTAAGGGTATGGTTAAAGTTTCACCAATTCCTCATCCTCTCTCCACTACATTCTAACTAAAGAAACCCCATCTCTTCCAGATGTATCAATGCAGCCCTGTTCATATCTTTCCCGACTAATCAATCAAATCTCTGTGCCAAGCTGGGTTCTCTAACACTAACTTTTAAAAATATAACACAGGGCAGCTTCATTCCAGCTGCCAGGGCTGAGCATAAGCCCACCCCAGCAACTACGACTGGCAAAAACTTTGAGAGAGCCCAAACGCACGGTTTAGGAATAGTGTTGGCCCAGCGAGAAAGGCAAAACACATGCTTACATCCAAATCCTCTAAATCCCATTCAATTGCCCCTTCCCTATAATATCTGCGCCATTTTTTGCTATTTCTGTTTTTTCTCTTTGTCATTCCCCTTCATTTCTGTGTTGTATATGAAATAAAGGCTTCCTTTCCTGTTATTTAATTGGGCAAAAATTCCAATTTCTCTGCTATGGTTCATGCTCTGAGGGTGCATCACCCTGCCCTACATATCATTTTCCATTCTCTTCACTTTCTTCTTCATCAGCTACTATTCCTGTAATTCAGAGCTCAGGCTATATGTAGTTTTGACATGTTCTTCCGGTAGCGGGGAGTGTTTCCACAGATCTGTCCATGAGAAATCAAATAGTACCACTGTGAACACATCACTTATATTGACTCTCCAATATAGTTTCCAAAGGCAAACAATGGTCACTAAATAAATAGTATTATGGCGTAAATATTCAATAATGACAGATGATTGCCTGATGAACCCAAAATCAGTCATCATTTGTTCCAATGAAGCCACTAAAACTTAAGAAGTCAGTGGGCAATCTGTTGAAAATACAATAAGAATATAAGCATTCAAAATGAAGCTGGGTTTTCAGGTCTCCTGAAAGCATGGTAGTGATAACAGCCTCAGATTTAGACTCAGAGGACCTGGGTTTGAATCCTGGAACTGCCCTTACTACCTTAGGCAAATTCACTTCATCTCTGGGCCTCAGTTTCTTTATCTGCAAAAAAAAGGTTGTTCGACTAGATCAGAGGTGTCATACAAGTGGCCCACAATACTCCCAGAATGCAACCTGAACCAGATTAAAATGTTGACTGGGAAATATTTAACAAAACAAATAAAATGTAGATAATATTACATTTTAAAACTAAGTCAATACGCAGCACATAGAGATCATAACTGACATGGCCCCTTAGGGGCCCAAGTTCCTATGACCCTGGCCTAGCTGCTCTTTGAAAGTCTCTGTAAGTTTGAAATCCTCCAACTCAATGAATCTGCACTTTGTGGCCTTCTGTAAGGGTCACCTTGGCCACTTTCCAAAAGCAAAGTTATTTGTTTCCCCAAATCTCTGGATACTGTGTCTGAAAAGTATCCTGAAATCTCATGGAATTTCAGAGTGGCTCTGAACAATTCTGACATTTCTGAGACTAGACCTACAAGGGCTTAAGATGATGAAGACGGGCTAATGACATGACAGCAAGGCACGTGTGAGATAGTGGAGATATTGCTGGTGCAATAAATAGACAGGAAAACAAGGGTTCAAGTCATCTGACTTCTTGAAGTTACAGTCAACTAAATTTAGTCCTGAATAGAAGAGTAAATGCCAACCTGCACTGGAAGCAGGTGTTTCCTCCCTCTGGGAATTCTTCACACCAAAAAAAACTCAAGTCTGCATTGTCCCCCCTCAAAAAAAAATTAGCCAATGACATTTTCCTCAAAAATGCCAAGTAGAGTTTGAGACACAGCAAAAAACCAGAGTGGACTAAGTAAGGGTGGTGCTCTGATTAGGGCTTCCCCTCTTATTTCTGTTCTGGCCTGGTAGGAATGATCCAAACATCCAAGGGAATAATGTTAGAAATGAATTTTGTACTTAGGGCAGCAAATCTTGTTTCCTGGTTTCTATTCTGTTAAGTGTGATTTGTAAAGAGATTAACAAAGGAAATTAAAATCAGTTTTTTACTTGAGGAGGGAGCCTTGGGGGGCAAAGGCTGGAGAACAGGAATACCTTGTGGTCTATAAAGGTTTCCAAAGAATGGGAAGCAGAAGGCAGAGGGGCCAGAGAGCTGGCTGGAAGCCAGGAAGCCAGGGTTCAAGTGCTGCCTGCAAGCAAGCACATTGGCCTCCAGGGCCAGGAAGAGCTGCACTGGAGTTCTGCAAGTCATTGAACCTCTCAGTGTTTAAGGGTCTTCTCTAACACTGTAACTTACAGAGGGAGTGCCAATCTGCACTGGTAAAGGGAGTTTCCCCTATCAATGAAATCGCCACTCCAGTCCCTATCCCTTCCAAAAGTTACATGCCCAAATAAACAAATCAGCGGTGACTTTCAACAAGGGGCATTTTTGGCTGAAATTATGGCAACTAATACCGATGAAAGGGAAATTCCTCAGAGGAACCCCTGGGGTTTGGTAATCGCTATCATGAATCGACCTTGACACATAAAAACATGATGTTTTTATTTTTTTTACCCCATCATTACTATATTCAATCTTCGATGTAATACTGCTTTGTCATCTAATTAGATCTCATCATGGGTAACACTAATATTAATGTCAGATACGAAGCTGTTGATTTAATAGGAATTTAAAGCAGATTTTCAAAGTCGGCTTTCTAGGCCTCGTACCCTCCAATTCAATTCTGCTCAGCTCACTCAAGAGTTACTCTGGAAAAGACTTCTGGGTTTAAATGGAGGCTCCCTCCCTCTCTCCAAGTGCACTCTTAATTTATCCTATGTAAAACTAATCTTTGTGGTGCCGACACCATGTTGTATCTAGCCCTATTTATACAAATCACTGATGGCGAAGTAGCATTTAATATGTGAGATAACTGATCAACACTGCTCTAGGATAATAAATCTGGATATCAAAAGCCCTAAAAAGGCACCAACTGGGAAAGAGATGTCTCATGGGGAAAAGGAAAAAAAAAATTCCAGGAAGAATATGTTAATATGGGGTGGAGGAGGGGAGTTGGGATGAAAAAAAAAATCAGAATGCAGAATGTCGAGCTCTTTTCCCTCCTCCTTTCCCCTCCTCCCCTCCTTCATCTCTATAACAATGGGGGGGGGACCGCAAGGGCAGGGGCAGGGGCCATACCTTCATGGGTAGGTTCTGGGTCTGGTGTAAGGGAAATGTCATCCAGCTCCCTGAGACATAGCCACTCTCCATCCATAGACACCCGAAATTTGCAAAGGTAGATGGTTTCCATGGCCGCCTGGGTGATCTTGTCTGTGGTAGGGGTTGGCATATCGGTCGGAGGTGTCAGGGCGGACATGATGACTCAGCTGGGACCACAACACACACAGAGGAAAAATAAAAATAAAAAAAAAGCCACCCCCCACCAAAAAAAAATCCGAACCCAAGCTCCCCGAACCAACCCCACCCGAACTCAGAGCTCACTAGAACAGAGCTTTCAGGTGGAGGAAAGAAAGAAAGAATAAACCCCTCGGGTCTAAAAGCAGACTAGCACAAATACGCGATGCCACGCTAGCTTTTTTTCCCACGCAGCAAAAAGGAAAGGATGCTCGTCTCCGCCCGCCTGCCTTCCCGCCCAGCTCCCGGAGGGTTCCAGTCGGCCTCCAATCCCGCGGGGCCTCGGCCCCCCCCCACCCCCGGCCGCCTTCGGCAATCTGGCCTCTGCCCGGGACGGAGAAAAAGCGGCCGACCTGGCCAGTGCCCAAAGGACAAGGCTAGGATGGCCCCCAAAGCGATCCGGTGCTCTTCTGGCGTCCGAAACACAGAGTCACGGGCTCTCGGGTCAGGGTGAGCCTCTGCCCGGGCACCAGGCGTACGCGGCAACGGCAGCGGCAGCGGCCGGGCGGCGAGCAAGGGTGGTGACCAAGATGGCTGACTAATGAGCCGGACTGAAAATCCAGGCTCATGTGACCGGCGGCTGCTCCCAGGGAGCAAGCGGATGAACGCAGCAGAAGCGCCTCCCAGGATGCTGGATGGACGGATAGATGCTGATGATGCAGGATGCTCGCCACCTCCTCCTCCCGCCCACCGCCTGCCAGGCGCTGCTAGTCAATCTGGGATCTGAGCAGGATCCTCCTCCTTACCCCCCGCCCAGTCCAGGCTGGCAGCAGGGGGGGGGCGGCTGGGATTCCAAATATGTAGGGAAATCAGCCTCTGCATGACACACAGGCAGCAGCTATTTAAAAACCACAGAGAGCGCTGCCGGAGGCAAGCTGGGCAGAGATTTCCATTCTCTCCTGCCTATTTCTGGCTCTGCTGACTTCCTTTTCTGAGCTGCCTAGATCTGCCTTCTCAAAGAACTAAAGAAAACTCTTTGGGACGGGGCGTTAGCAATAGCCACAAAACCCTAAACCTTCCCACATTTAAAAAGAATTATTCAAGAAGGAACCGTCTTATATGGAAATGCACAAAGTTTGCCGGAGGAAAAAGGGCCCGGGGAGGGGGGGGGGCCTTTCTAGAGAAGACTTTGGACTCTAAGAAATAGTCTTGGTAGCTAAAATCTGGAAAGTGGGTTTTTACTTTTAAGATATTGTTCTATTTCATAGTTTATACTTTAACTATCCACTCTGCGTGACTGCTGGAAGGAAAGGGATTTATAGGCCTTAGAGGATCACATAAATATGGGCTGTAATTAGCCCCAAAAGGCTACATAAAAGAGAAGCAGGCTCGAGACCATCTCCAAATTTTTCTGATTAAGGATGCAAAATGGGCTCATCTTTTCTGGGTAGGCTTTTAATGATGAAATTAATATGTATAAAATAATATACGTTTATAGATTACCCTGATCCTTGGGGGGGGCCCACGCCACTCCAATCTCTTCCCCTCAGCCTGCCTTCCTACACGAGGCATTAGTAAATACAAGGGAGAAAAAAAAACCCAGGGCTTTCTGCAGAGAGCATTAAGAAATAGCACCTTAAAACAGCCCCCCAAATCCACAACATGCTACACATTTTGAAAGCAAGAATACAGAAGGCACTTAATACATGTTTGCAATCCATAAAGTGCTACGAAAATTACTGATTGGCATTCCCCAACCTGCTACTAAGGAGAGGTAAGAGAATGGATATGGACCAGCCAGAAGACCAGGGTTCAATTCCCAGGTCCACCCCTGGTGCTACTGCTTCCATTCCTCATGTGTAAAATGACATGGCTAAATGACCTCTGTGTTCCCAGCAACATCTAAAATGTAAATCCGAAACTGGAACAGAGCAGGAAAGGCACAGTTAAAGAAATCCTGCTATGAATTCTTATGTAAACAGAAAAACACAAAAATAAAATCTGCTTTTGTTGTTGAGATTCACCCAACTCCTCCTGACCCCACCGGTGGTTTTCTTGGCAATGATACGGGAGTGGTTTGCCAGTTCCCTTCTCCAGTTCATTTTACAGATGAGGAAACTGAGGCAAACAAGGTTAAGTGACTTGCCCAGTGACAAGTTCTGGGGTGCTGGCACCCCAAGAATGCTAACGCAGGGTTGCCTGGAATGAATTCACATACTCACGCCTTCTCTTAGTCAAATGGCAAAGAGTTTATTGCAATGCTTTAGCAAAAGCAGGTAAGGGTCCTTATGGGAACCTACAAGAGACTGAGGATGGGGCGGGGGCTTATGTGGAAAAGGGGCATGGGACAGGAATGCCAGGGATACCGATTAGGTAATCTAAGGGTCCAGGTATCTTGGGAGCTACCGATGGGAAAGTATAGGGAGTATACCAGACATCAAGAGAGCTATCTGAGGCATGGACCTCAGAGATCTGGCAGGAGGAAAAGTCCTTGGGCCAGCTAGGGACAAAAATCCTTGGGCCAGACATCTCTCTATTCTGACAAGTGAATGTGTTCTGCAACAAGAGAAAATCTTCTTACAGACAGAGGCCTACTGAGAAATTGGGAGGCTTCCAGAGACAGAATCTTAGGGCTGTGCCCGAGCACCTCATCACCAGGATCACACAGCTATTAAGTGTCTGACATCAGATTTGAAGATAAACCTTCCTGACCCCAGGCCCGGCATTCTATCCACTATGCCCCTCACTCCCCTAAACCTTTTGCTATCCTCCTTAAAAAACAAAAACAAAACACCAAGATCTGATTTTCCTCCTTCTGGGCATGCTGGGAGATACTCCATTCAGCAGCTAGTTCCTGCCCTGAAGAGATGCTAAAGCTCATGTTTAATAGAGATTCATTTGCCTCCAAATTAAAGGAATAAGAGGGAAACTGTATGTAAGAATTAATACATATCAGCTTACTTCCCTAATTTGTAAAATCCTCCTAAAATTCTTGAAGGCAAAATAAAACTGTCTATGTCTTGGTTAGAAAATATAAGAGGAATACTCATCATTCAACTGAGTCTTTTGGGGCTTTTTAGTGTGTGTGTGTGTGTGTGTGTGTGTGTGTGTGTGTGTGTGTGTGTGTGAGAGAGAGAGAGAGAGAGAGAGAGAGAGAGAGAGGAGACAAACCCCTTTGGCAATCTGCTAAAGCCTATAGACCTCTCTCTGTGTACTGTCTTTAAATGTATGAAACAAAATACATAGGATTATAAAGGAAACTAATTATACTAAAACACACATCAAAACACGTATGTATATACACAAAAACACATACACTTTGATAAATGTGTATATGTATATATTTCTGTGCGTACACATATACGTGTGTGTGTGTTGTATACACACACACACACACACACACACACACACAAACAAAAACCAGGTCACAGACATGAAGTTAGAAACACCTGATCTGAGAGTTTTCACTCCTGGACTGACCCTGACAGGGAAATAAACAGAAGTGAGACACAGAATGTACCTCATAGTTTGGTTAAGGAAATCACCATCTGTATAATCAACATGAGTTCTTATGATGAATACTAAAATCCAGATATCTTGCTTCGTTCCAAATTTTCCTGAAGTTCTTCTAAACAAGATTACAAGTCACCAAGCATTCACAAAGCTCCCACACAGCACCAGGCACTGAGCTAAGTACTTGAAGATACAAAGAAAGGCAAAAGACCGTTTTGGCCTCAGGAAGCTCACAGTCTTGTCTTGGCAACACCCATTTTTTCCACAAACCAAAATCATATACCTTCAACGTGGACGCATAAAACTGAGAGCTGGAAGGGGCCTTGGAATACATACAATCCAATCCACTCAATTTACAGGGGCTGAAACTGAGGCCCAGAAAGGTCCTATGTTTGTTGCTGTTCAGTTGTTTCTGTCATGTCCAACTCTTCGGGACCCCATTTGGGGTCTTCTTGGCAAAGACACTGGAGTGGTTGGCCATTTCCTTCCTGGGCTCATTTGACAGAAGAGAAAACTGAGGCAAACCGGGTGAAGTGACTTGCGCAGGGTCACACAGCTAGCAAGTGTCTAAGGCCGAATCTGAACTCAGGTCCCCGTAACACCAGGGCCAGAGTTTTATCTGCTGTACCACCTGAGCTGCCCCACTTCCCTATTTTTTAAACCAGGTTTTCTTTGCTATGAACTTAGCAAATGAGAACATTTTGACATACAATCCGTAGAGTGGCACCCACGCAGCCCATAATGGAGCCACAGCTGGAGACCCCAGTCTCCCCAGGCAATGCCTGGGAGGCACAAACCCCTTGGGGTCTGGCGGGAGACCTGCTTCCACCCAGGGAAAGGATAACATGAGCCTTTACAGAAAAGAGACAGAGTAGCTCAGGCCAACACTCAAACGAGCCTTCAGGAGACAGAGGCAGAAGCCAGGGAAGGATTCCTGTACAAGGCAGAGTGCAAGGAAGCCATCCTTATCTGGGACAAGGTGCCAAAACTTTTGGGAGGTGGCCAGAGCAGTCCTTAGGGGGAAATATGGCCCTCTCATCAACAAAACAGATAACAAATCACTGATTGGGCTACAACCAAAAAGATTAGGAAAACAACAAATCAAAACCCATCATGAAACGCAAAATAAACATTCTGAAACATCAGAGGAGATGAAACTGGCAACAACAACAAAATTAACTTGGTAAGTAAAAACAGGACTTATTTTAAAAAAAAGGTTTAAACCATTAGTCAATCTGATTAAAGGAGGAAAACGAAATTGCCAATCTCAAAAATAGTCAGAATTTGCAACAAATGAAGAAGAAATAAGGAAAAGTATTCAAAATGATCTTGCTCCATATATATATGAGGATAACTGATCCATTAAATTCAAAAATATATTGAATACCCAGATTAACTGAATAAGAAATAGAGAATTCAAATAACCTTATTTCAGACAAGGAAATCCAAAGGGTCATAAAGGAAATCCCCATAAAAAACCAAACCAAACCAAACCCAGAGCCAGATGGATTTACAAGTG